AAATATATAAATATATATATACATTTACGATTCTTTTTTTTATAAGCGGTATAATGTAGGCTATCATATAAATATCTATTGACTTTATGTACATAAGCCTTTCTAATATTTAAGATTTAATATGGTGGGAATCAAGCGAGAGAGAAACGCGCAAATATTCGCCGCAGTCACATAATGATTTTATGTAAATAATATATATCACGTTAAAAAAAATGATTCCTCGATCGTAATGTGTTGGATGTATTTCGCACTAATTCTTGTTCTTAGAATGAAATAACATAGCACAGTTTGCAGTCGATGGGGCTGACGTTACATCACTTATGTACGTGGATTCTGCGAAGTGTTGCTATTATTTTGCATTTGCATTTTATGATCGAAGAGGGAAAAAATTGTAATTTCGAAAGTTCAACCACGATTTAGAAATTTAAGAAAGAGCGACCTACGATTCTTATCGTTGCCAAGTACACCGCTTTATACACACATACAGACATACACACAAACACATATACAATATTATTTTGCATAAAATTGTGGACTATTGTTATTCCAACTTCGGAAACTTTGGAAAAATTTTGAATTCTCGATTATGTCGTAATATTCTCTTTAGAAACACGTTCACCGTAGGTTCGATTGCGACACAAAACGCGATAAGAATAATAGATTAAAGAAAAAAAAAGAAAGAAAAGAAAGAAAATACGAAAAGAAGCTGAAGCGTAACGGCAGCGATGAAATGCCGTGACGTGAATGCAATATCACGAATGGGGCAAAAAACCAGCACGCGTCAAATTGTTCATAGATTATTTTTTATCATGTGAATACAGAATATATATCAGCAATAAAAATTGTTATACATATTATAGACTGGCGTACATATGTGTGTATGGCCATTTTACATACGCATCGACGCGTACCTAATTCCCACTCTTAATATGCGACATGTACATGTTCACTTATACATCTATTGTACATATTTATATGGTACTTTAAATAACAAGTCGATACATTGTTGATTTTTATATTACTGTTCTCTACCTTGAAATGGCATCCACTCACACATCGAGCATGGTCCGTTCGTTCATTGGATTTCCGAATACTGATTGTCTCATTTTATTTATTTTTTTTTTTAAATAAATTAAAATTCTTGTCACAGAATTTAGACGAGATTTTCTTTAACGCGACTAAGCAATTATTTTATCGAATATATTATGTAATATATTTAATGATATATTTCAATATTATATAAATCTTATTGTTACTATATTGTTACTAATCTTCATTTGTGCTCGATATTTTAACAAAATATATTATAGGATTAACAGCTAAATTTTTTCTAGTCGATTTTATATCGATCGCTTTTATACTTTGGAAAAGTATTTCTTTTATTATGTAACATGTTTTTTTTTTATCCCAAATGGATGTCAATTTCATTCTCAATGTTAAATGATACCTCTAAAAGAATTTGTCAACTCTAAAAGAATTTTGTTATAACAATTATACATGATAAATAATTACGATTTAAATTATATAATTGAAAATTTTTAATTATAAATTATTAAGAAGTAATTTAGATAGTAGTAGATAAGTGGCGCATTTCAACTTACTTAGATTTCGATGGATGGGAAGATTCTCTTCTTTCGAGTGTGTGCAGCCGCACAGTATTCGTTAATGTTCTAACAACGTGTGCTTTTGTTACGCGTCTCCTATGATTATTAGAGTGAATTTCTTCTGTCCACAAAGTTTGCGGTATTTTTGGACGCATGTAAACAAGTGCCTCGTTACACGTTATCCACAAGCCTAAATCAAGAGAGTTAAATGTGTATAAAATTCGATAATGATTAACAAAATAATGATCGTGATAATACAGGCAACGCTTACTCCTATTTAAATCGTAGTTTTTCATACACTCGTGATTCGTCATTTTCTGCTAAAAAAGAAAAATGCACATATTTTGTTTACACTACGCTAAGCATTCTTTTTTTAAGTATAATATGCAGACAAATTTGATTTTATCATGTTTATTTTTATCAATTCAGATTACTTTAATTTTCGGCTTAATTTTTTTTTTTTTTAATTTTTAAAACTAAAAGATAAGTGGTAAGGTTGAATCGAGATTAATCTACATTGGTAGAAACGGACGTATAAGGCAAGTGTTTCGACTGACGAAAATATCTGATGAAAATACGGAATATTTACTTCATTTCCTCTGAGGGAACATTGCTGGTATTGGTACGTGACTGGCTGTGTGGTATCCAGATGGCCGTTTTGGCGACGTTGGGTCTTCTGCGAGGAGGAACACGTGCTGTGGTTCGTGTTTGCATGTAATCCCAGCCTGCCATACAATCCGTACTTTCTCTCGTCGGCGGGACGTAACATGCCGTTTTTCTTCATCGCCACGTATATCTGCTCGAGCATGCCGTAGCTCTTGATGAGAAAATCCCTCTGTGCCAGGGCCGTTATTCGTTCCCTTTCCTCAGACTCTGATATGATTTCAGGCTCGAAGGAGTATAGAGTGTTGGTAGGAGATTCCTGTGCGTCCTGTTTATTGATCTGCGAAAAAGCGACGTTTAATATGTTTGTACAGACGAAGGAAAAAATCCCTTCTCTTTTTCAACTTCCGACCGAGTCGTTATATATTCTAACAAAAGATAATTATTATTTTCTATCTAATTTTTAACAATAGTTTTTTTACGAGGCTTTTTTTCACGAGGCAACGAAGCATTCTTTTGTGCGAATAGCAATTAAAGAATGAACTGTACGATTTGAATCAGTACGTTTTTCCTTAGTCCTCCTGCAAATTTGCTCTTCTCTTGGAATTTCTTTGGTGTGTATAAACTTTCAGCGCTTAACTTTTGTTCGCTCCATTTCCCGACTATTCGTTTGCGTTCTTTTTCCTTCGTTTTCAACTAAAACCAGATAAAATTATTCATAAAAATGAACCAATTAAAAAATAAATAATTAGCAGTAATCAAGTCAGAGTCTGATTAACGTTAAAAATTTGTTTACGAATAAATAACGAGCAGTTTTATTGATGCCAATGTCCGTCCGTTATATTTCAAAAAAACAATTTTATGTTATTAAAAAATTAATTAATATTATTTTGATAAAAGTTTTACGATCGTTATAATTTCGTCTACCAATTTTAAGAGTTCAACTATAACTGAGGAAAAATGTACCTCATTCTCTTCTCTCTCAATTCTCGACGCTTCTTCTCGTGCTCTTGACGCCACCGTATCTTGGAAAACGGAAAGCGCATTCTGCGTGAAGAAAGACTGGTATTTATCTTCGTCACATGGATAAATTCTTCGAAAATTGCCCATATGGTCGTCTTCCCATTGAAACTGTCTCTGCATGTAATCGTTCTCATTCCTCTCGGATTTTATTGAAGTTGTGTCGTAAGTTTGACTACACATTGTAACATTTCGATCTGTTATCAGGCTTCTATTATAATAAACACGATTTATTTTTATTTTATATTATTAAGCTATATTTTATACGGCCAAAACTTGTGACGGTTTAATGTACTAATTAAATTCGGCTTTAATTTCTATATTTTTATATTTTTATATTTTACATTTTGGTATTTGTGTGTTGCATAAAAGATATCTATACATTATGTTTTATCAAAAAGTTATGAAAATTTTGTTATTTTAACTAGTATTTCTTCTATTTTCTAGTATTTTAACTAAGATAGTTAATCTAATATTTTACTTGCCTAACATCCTTTCCGCTTAAACCTTGAAGAAGTCGCTGTTTGATTCTTTTTCTGTCTTCTTCTATTATTTTCTTTTTGTCACACTGTTGTAGATTTAATATATCGAAGGTGTCCATCAACAACCCTTCCTTTACATCTTTGTCTATTTGTGCATCTGTATGAAAGCTTGGCGAATGATTTACCTGATACATTTACTAAATTTAGCGGATATTTAATAATATTTCCTTTATCACTCTCGTCACTCTCACTCTCAAGGGCTTACCTCAAGAAGGTAAGGTTTCAGCTTCCAGTCGAGCAAAATGTCGAATCCCAACAACTCGAAGCACGCGCAATTCTTATCGTGCATCGGAAAACACGCGTGATAACTGTGCTTCAATACGGGATACGCGACGATCACAGTTTTAATTATAACCTCGTCGATTTTGCTCCACAGTTCGTCCACATTGACATCCTTCGTTTTTAAACATTTGTTTAATGTCGATACCTTTCTGCAAAGCTGCTATTTGAGTAGTGTTTTATATGTATTATTAATATTACAAATTTTTTACATGTACCTCTTGCTGCCAATCTCGTCGTCGATGATATACATTCGGCTGTGTTTGTTAACGGAATAATTCGTCAAGTGCATGAACATGTTCGAAGTATTGTGACCGTTCGGTTCTTTATATTTGCTCGTCGCAAATCTGAAAACGCAATAGTTCATATTTTTCTTTATATCATTTTGCAAAATAAATATATATTTATAATTTCTGATAATTCAAAAATATTTCGTGAAATATATATATTTTAATTAATTAATGATTTTTAATTTTTAATTTTATTTTAATTAAATATATATTTGAATAATATTTAATATTTGTTTCTCGAAATTTATCTTTTAATTATAAGACATCGAGTCTATCTTACCTTGCGAGCCCTTCGTTGTACACATAGATTCTGAGAGGGTTGCATGATGTAATTAGTGCGTAAATACGTAGATCAAATTTGTATCCGTCTATTAAGAAGGGCTAAGAATGTGATAAGAAAAAGGACTATGCATTATACTTGGTTTGTAACTATGCAACTATGAAATTGGTAACGTAAGTTTTATTTATACGATTATAGAAACTCTTAAAATAAAATCTAAATCTCAGAGAATCTTCATGTAAACAAAAAAAAAAAACGTACAAATAGAACATTTGTTTTCTTATCTGGAAAGAGCTAATCAAGTTCTGCAAGTGATTTTTTTGCAAAGAAAGATTTATTTTCATACCCTTGCAATGTACACTTGACAGATCAAGCGTTCGCTTGACAATTTGATGTCCTTTAAATATTTCGTTAAATAAATACCGCGTCCTTGGCAGCCCATATCTGGTTTAATGATAAAGGTTCTTGACCTTCGTGTCTTGGCATAAGCGGTCGCATCGCCATAACTAGAAACCAAAATCCAGAGATTCCGATCTGCTTACACATTCATCGGCGTCAGGAAATATTGATTATTTCTTTATCGCCGTAATGGCGAGCCTTTGGAATTTATGACCGAGAACCCGAGAGCAGTCGTTCGGAGAAGCAAAACAGAATTACTCACACGTACAAGTAGCTCGCGCTTATAAAATAGATAAGAGAGCTTTTAATCGATAAATCGCATTCTGACATATGAAACTGATTCGTGGAATTGCAATATGATATTTCACCTATATAATTATAATTATGAAACAATATTTTCGGATGTCAAATTCCAATTACATCCTCCAAGGCGAAAAATGTGTAAAAACACATTACGCAAATGTATTTAAATAATATTTTATCTGCAGAGCATAAATTTTGTAGAAAATATT